AAATATTACTACAATTTCAAGTAACTATTTTATATTTAATACAATTGTAATAATTAATTTAATAATAATTTATGCATTTAGCAGACGCTGACTTACAGTGCATTCAGGCTACACATTTTTTAACAGTATGTGTGATCCCTGGGAAGCAAACCCACGGCCTTTTGCACTGCTAAAGCAATGCTCTACCACTGAGCCACAGGAACATCTGAATTATTTTTACATTTAAAAAAATAATTGAAAGTTTTATTTATTCCTTTGATGGCAAATATTTCCATTACTCCAGTCTTCAGTGTCACATGATCCTTCAGAAATCATTCTAATATGCTGATTTGGCACTCAAGAAAGATTTATTATTATTAACAATGTTGATGAACAGAAAGTTTAAAAGCAGCATTTATTTGAAATAGTATAACTTTATAAGATTTCTGTCACTTTTAAACATTTTGCATCCTTGTTTCATAAAAGTAAACGTTTGAACGGTCTGTCTTACTATATAATGTTTTTAATTGTTAGCTTTAATTATCTGCAGCTGCTCTGACTTGATGACGTTCTCTCATATACTCTCATATTTCACTCTCAATCATATCTGTGTTGTTAAAACATTTTACGTCACGTGGCATGGATCAGTTGAAATGAATCACGGTAGAACTTCAAACACTGCTCACCTTGTACAGACAGTGTGGCCATTCTAGACGCTCCACCCAAAACCTGACAGGCGACTTCACCCGCATCGTCTCTCTGCACGTTGCTAATTGCAAACTCCCATCTGTAATCACCAGGCGTGGTGAAATTTGTGGCAGAAAAACGATCTGTGCTGTTAATCACCCCGGATGCTTCCAGAATGGTGATAACCAAGCGTTCGTTGAGCGTCCAGGTCATGACTAATGGGGGCCGAGTTGTGCTGCAGTTGAACCGAGCCTTCGAACCACGGAGCAGCACTGCATTCAGAGGCTGTAGCTGCTCCTGAGCGGACACCACTGCAGTCAACGACACACAAGTAACAAATGATTCCAAACAGCTGGTTTCGTTTACATCCAGTTATTCAAAGCATGTTTTCTTGTTTTTCTTCTCATCGTAAATCATGTTTAAAGTAAATGAGCATTAAGGGTAATTACGGAATATTTTTGGGTATACTATTTTATGTTTCCCCCTCCCTCTTTTAGCAAAACCACATTAATATAGAGCGGAGCAATACTAGATATACAGACCAGGGCTAGGGGCTCACAGTGGCTATATCTCAGTGAATATGAGTTTTTGAGTCAAAAGTCAATAATGAATTACACTAATTTGTGGGTGTTTTTGTTCTAGCAGTGAATGTTTGTCAGATTTGTCCTTCAATCTAAAATGAACTAAATAAATAAAGCTAAATAAAATATTTAAACCAATATCATCCTATACTTTGCTAAAATGACCATATTGCCATATGTTTTAAATTTGCACGATTTATTAATAACTTGTTACAGATTTGATTATCTCAACGTAATTCATATAATGTGACAAAATCAAATATAAAACTGCTCTGAGAAATACTGACTGGAATAACACGTGACGACTTGCCCCGGTCTGAATTCCCATAGACATTTCCATTAGTTTCTAAGATTGCATTAATTTCAGTGACTTTTCCAAGCCTGCAAATCCCAATTTTAAAATTCTCTGATACTTCCACACTGCAAAAAAAAAAAACTACTTTTTCTTAACCATTCATCCATCCGAGACTTGTTTTCAAGAATACATTTTTAGAATAAATTTGGTTACGTTTATTATTAAAGATAAAAGAAAAAGAATTTGTCAGTGGGTGAAACAAACAAGTCTTGTTTTAAAGATATTTAGATATTTTTACTGGAAAACAAAACTAAAATACTCTCTAAGTGTGTGTTTTTGATGCATGCAGATGCAGTGGGCACCCTGATAAAGTAAATATATGAAAACTCACCCGTGGTGATCAGAAGAAAAAGACCCAGTCTAAAAACATGCATGTTTCCTCAGGTATCATCACACCAGCATCTACAGCCCTAAAATAAATGTAATCATTGTGAAACGGGCAGGGCAACTGATGGGACAGCCCTGAAATGTTCAGTATGCTCAGTCGATTGTCTTCAAGCGTCAGGATTTCCTCTATTATTTTTGTAGGTGTGTCTTTGACATGAAAACTGTGCGCAAATGTCTTAAACACTCATTTGAAACATGCTTCCAGACATTCCAGTCATTCTCTCACGAAGTCATTCAAACTATTTCTATTTTATAATCAAACTTATTATTAGGCTTTTCTAACATTACTAATATTACCCAAAATGCTTCTGTATTCTATTATATATCACACTATGAACTTCAGTATAAAATAATTATTGACTTTACACTGCGAGTCAAAAGTTTGGAATAATTCCTTTTTTTTTAAGAAAAAGAATTTGTCAGTGAGTGAAACAAACAAGTCTTGTTTTAAAGATATTTAGATATTTTTACTGGAAAACAAAACTAAAATACTCTCTAAGTGTGTGTTTTTGATGCATGCAGATGCAGTGGGCACCCTGATAAAGTAAATATATGAAAACTCACCCGTGGTGATCAGAAGAAAAAGACCCAGTCTAAAAACATGCATGTTTCCTCAGGTATCATCACACCAGCATCTACAGCCCTAAAATAAATGCAATCATTGTGAAACGGGCAGGGCAACTGATGGGACAGCCCTGAAATGTTCAGTATGCTCAGTCGATTGTCTTCAAGCGTTAGGATTTCCTCTATTATTTTTGTAGGTGTGTCTTTGACATGAAAACTGTGCGCAAATGTCTTAAACACTCATTTGAAACATGCTTCCAGACATTCCAGTCATTCTCTCACGAAGTCATTCAAACTATTTCTATTTTATAATCAAACTTATTATTAGGCTTTTCTAACATTACTAATATTACCCAAAATGCTTCTGTATTCTATTATATATCACACTATGAACTTCAGTATAAAATAATTATTGACTTTACACTGCCAGTCAAAAGTTTGGAATAATTCCTTTTTTTTTTCAGCTTTCTTTTTGGAAAGACGTCTCTTATGCTCACCAGGGTTATTATTGTCAACTAAAACTAAAATAAAAACTAAAATCATTAAAAATGTTACTTGAAATAATATGAAGTTTAACTGAAATAAAAGAAAATATTTTTTTAAAAGTACAAATTCAGCTAGTTGCCAAGGAATCATTTCTAATTTTCGGTTAGTTTGGCTTAAACTGAAATAAAAATGAATAAAAAATATATAGACATATTTAAAAAATAATAATAATAATAATAATAAAAAATGTCAAAAACAACACACTCAACTATAACTAAAATTAAAATAGAAAATAAATACTAATTCAAAATATTAATAAAATATATAATAGTATACCACTTATATAACACTGATGCTTATGAAGGCTGCATTTATTTGATCAAAAATACAGTATACAGTAATACTGTGAAATATTATTACAATTTGGAAGAACTTAAAATGTGATGTATTGTGATTTAATTTTTTATTTATTTACATTTTTTGAATGAATATTCTAATTGAAATGTAAATCCTCTGCAACATTATAAATGTCTTCTATAACTTTTATAAATGTCTTATGAAGGTATTCATTTTTCTTTTTCCCCTTTATATTTTGGGTCACACTTTTGAATAGTAGTGTATAATGGTTTCCACAAAAACATTAAATATTAAGCCAGAAAAACATTTTTCAACGCTGTTAAATGATATTTGTTTTTGGAGCAACAAATCAGCATATTAGAATGATTTCTGGAAGGTTATGCGACTATGCTATTTTATCATAACTATATCTACACTACTACACTGTTTGTTCAGTACACGGACAGGTACCGGCTTTCATATTTTAATACGCATGTTCCTTTTGTGAACTTAAATGTTATTATAATAAGATCCAGAACAACAACTTGCCTCATAAAATTCCGTTAATCCAGTAAAATCGAGAAACAATCCCCAGTCTTCCTTCGTCAGATCACCTGTCAACCTACAGAGAGGCCAAAGTTCAGCTGGCTTCCAGTCATGCTATCAAAGCGAGAGAGGTAAGCCATCTATTACATCTCCATGCAGTCGAAACCCATCGAGCCTGTCTGCTTTGCATATGTCTGCAGATCTCGTGAGGATTTGACGTCACACTGACATGTCAAACAGAGTGGCCTGTCTATCCGAAAGATTACTTTTGGGGCACATAACCCATGATCCATCTGTTAAGGATCACGCAAGACTATGCTTGAATGTAGTTGATTCAAATCTGAAAGACACACCCAGTTTCACAAAAAAAAGAGTTGATAGTGTCAACAACAGCAGTCATTCCTGGAGCTCAGCTGATCTATATATCAAATCTCTATCACTATATCTACAAGGCCACAGGTGATGTTCACTTACCTTAAGGTGTACAGACAAAAAAGCCTTTGAGAAAATCTCAGGTTATTGCTTAGATATCTGTTGTTACCAGGGCATCAACTGCAAGTATAGTGTACACAGAAAGACATATGCAAACAGGTTACAATGACGTCAGGCCTGCCTGAAACACATTCTGTTTATACACAAAACTACATGCCCCGTGGCTCCTGGAGACACTTGGTTTCGTTACCTACTGCAAAGACAAATGATAATAAATCAACTTTGACATGACTGGGTTTGTGCTACCAGCTACTCAATCGCAGGCGTAAAAACAAACCAAACCCTTAAGTGGAATGTAAAAAGGTGAGAAACATATTTATGAAATGTACACATTTGACAGGCTTTATTCAAAGTAACTTACAAAGCATTCAATCTATACATTTGTACTGCTTTGTGTTTTCCTGAGAATCAAATCGATTACCACTGCTTACACCATGCGTAACCAGTTGACGTTTTTTTTTTCGAAAAATCGTTTTTGTGAATTGAATAAAATTCACTGATATTTAAAATTTAAAAGTATTTGTGCAAATAAAAATAAAGTATCCTTTTAAAGGATAACTTTGCTTGAGAAGCAAAACTGGGTAAAATATTCAACCTTGATTTTAAATATTGGCATAAATCTTTAACAAAATGTATGCTAATATCAGGTATTCAGGTATTATTAGAACCATTGATATTTGCTGTGCTGTAATCAATGACCTGGAGAAACCTGTCACTAGATTATATTATGCTGTTTTTAAGATACATACAGTATTTACCTTGTCAGATTTGTTGACCCTGCTGTATCTATTCATGTCAGACTAAACTGGTTTCTAGAGAGTAAAAAATAAACAGAGGAGGTTAGACATCACTGGAGTGAATTTGAATAACATTAAAGCAATTCAGTGTGAAAATAACAAGGATAATGGATTTCTGTAACCTTTAATGCTGTGTTCTCGGATTTGGTGACCCTGCTGTATCTGTATCTGTTCGCATCAGGCCAAAATGCATTGTAAGATATAAAATACAGGAAGTAAGAAATCACCAGAGGGAATGTGGGTAGCATTAAAGCCATTCTGTGTGAAATAGAGGGAGGTAACAGATTTGGTGTCCTCTAATGCGGTGTTGTTGGATTTGGTGACCCTGCTGTATCTGTGTCTGTTCGCATCAGGCCAAAATGCATTGTAAGATATAAAATACAGGAAGTAAGAAATCACCAGAGGGAATGTGGGTAGCATTAAAGCCATTCTGTGTGAAATAGAGGGAGGTAACAGATTTTGGTGTCCTCTAATGCGGTGTTGTTGGATTTGGTGACCCTGCTGTATATCTGCAGCTGTTCACATCAGACCAAAATATTTTCTAGGATATATTAAGTAGAGGCAGATAGACATTACCAGAGTGAATCTAGGTAACATTAAAGCCATTCTGTGTGGTTGAACAGATGTATAACAGATTTCAGTATCCACTAATGCGGTGTCGTCGGATTTGGTGATGCTACTGTACATCTGCGTCTGTTCATATCAGACCAAAATATTTTTAGGATATAAAACAGAAATGGTAATACATCGCAAGAGTGAATTTGACTGACATCACAACCATTATCTGTGTCAAATAGAGGGGGGGTAACAGATTTCAGTAACCTTTAATGCTGTGTTGTTGGATTTGGTGACCTGTTGTATCTATATCTGTTCACATCAGACAAATATGCTTTATAGAGCATGAAACAAAGGAGGTTAGACATCACCAGAGTGAATTTGGGTAACATTACAGCCAATCTTTGTGAAATAGAGTGGTCTAACAAACTTTGGTAACCTGTTATGCTGTTTTGACTAATTCAGTGACACTTCTGTATATCTTCAGCTGTTTACATCAGACCAAAATGTGTTCTAGGAAATAAAACAGAGAAGGTTAGACAACACCAGAGTGAATTTAGGTTATATTCAAGCCATTCTGTGTGAAATGGAGAGAAGTAACCGATTTTGGTAACCTGTTATGCTGCTTTGTCTGATTTGGTGACCCTGCTGTAGCCTATATCTGCTGCTGTTCACATATTTCCTAAGATATAAAATAAATGGAAGTTAGACATCACCAGAGTGAATCTGGGTAACATTCAAGCCATTCTGTGTGAATACATAAAGAATGATGGTAAAGAATGTTGGTAACCTGTTATGCTGCCTTGATGGCCCTGCTGTATCTGTGTCTGTTCCTATCAGACTAAAATGCTTTCGGTTAGACATCACCAGAAAGAATATGGGTAACATTAAAGCCATTATGAATGAAATATAGCGACAGGACTCGGGCAGCTTGTCTAAAAAGATTAAGTAAATTAACCTGTTTTACAGCACCGTTCACTCAACGAGGCTGTACTCTGCAGCACTTCAACGATAATATCAAAGAATTTGATGCACGAACACCAGGCGCGTTCTAGCACGAACATTTGACGGAAAATGACCTGTAGTCGCAGATTTAGGCACGATAGCTGTGATTCTGTCAAAAATATATATTGAATTTAATTTAATTGAAAATCTTTAATGTCCACACATGTGGAAATTTATCTTCGGACCCACAATAACATGTACCACAAATACACTTGACTTCACAGTCCAATACAACAAACACACAAAACATACAAGTACTTGCCCCATGAATTACAGATACATAGGATATAAAATTAATGTATAGAGAGGCTAATAATACTACTGTTATAGGTTGCCTTCTTATAAATGTAATCTATGTGCTCACCAAAATTTAGGCTGCAATCTAGGATAATACCTAGATATTTAAAACTATTTACAATCTCAACATGTTGGCCCCCAATTATGACTGGCTGACATGTATGTTGCCCTTCCCTAGTGCTGACAACAAGTTCATTAGTTTTAAGAGCATTAAGTAACAGAGCACTTTCCTCGCACCATGCCACCAAATGGTCTATATGCTCAAAGTAGGCCCTCTCTAACTCCCCCTTTCCTCTGACCATAAGACCAACCATAACCATGTCATCGGCATATTTGAGTAGGGTAAAATTATTTTCACAAATCTGCATTTCATTCATATACATAGAAAATAATGCAGGTAATAACACACAGCCTTGGGGGACTCCAGTATTCAAAGTAACCTCGTCAGACATAATCTTTGAGGACGGTTAGTTAAAAAGTCCTTGATCCATAACACAAGATGCCCATTGGTATCAAGTTTTAATAGTCTGTCTAATAAAAAGTCTATCTTGACAGTATTGAAAGCCGAGCTAAGATCAACAAATAAAATTCTAGCAAAAGTGCCAGGGTGCTGAAGGTGCTTGCTGATCACATGAAGCAGAGTTAAAGTAGCATCATCAGTGCCTCTCTGTGCTTTATAAGCAAACTGCGATTGGTCTGACAAGTGAGTATTTGGCAGACGCCCTAACATAACCCCTTCCATGCATTTACATATAATGCTGGTAAGGACAATAGGTCTAAAATCATTAGGTGATACAGGGTTGCCGTTTTTAGGCACAGGGATGATTTTGGTCTTCCAAGAGAGTGGGACAGTATGTGTAATCAAGCAAAATCTTAAATCTAGTAAAAACACCTTTAAGTTGGTAAATGCTATGGCCCTCCTTCGAAGACCATCCGGGCCAGGTGCTTTATGAGGGTTTACCCTGGCAAGACAGCCAGCTATCTCCTCCTCTGTAAAAGGGATGGTATTCCAAACTTGGCAACAGTCTTGGTCAACCCTAACTTTATGTATGGTTTTATCAAACCTACTGTAAAACTGATTTAATTAATTTGTAAATAAACCAGTATTTATAGGTAAGCTGTGTTGCTTCTGGGTCTTCTGGCTTTATACTGTATATCATAAAATAAGTCTATCATGTTCTATATTCTGCATCTTTTGAAGCCACACTTCTTTGTGAGAAGAACAGACCGAAATTTAAACCATTATTCACTAAAAATCTTCCCAAACTGGTGGATTCAACACATTAAATAAGACGTGATGTATCAGTGGAGCAGTTTTGTGATTATGTCGGGAGAAAATCTACTGTTATGTGGTTCACTGGAGACGCAGGCCCTGCGTTCCATTCGGAAGGGCTCATCCCTATGCCCTAATCCCTTCAAAGGGATTACCCTCCGGAGTGACAGTTTTGAAGGGTGTAGGGGACCAAACAACTGTTTGTTGAAGTGCCCTTCTGCGTCATCACGTGCCCACACGGAGGCGTCGTCATCATGCAAAGGATCATAATATCAAATAACAGTTGAAATTATAATCAACTACATGTGCTTTAGTACATTTAGTCAACACATCAAAATAAGGACTACTTTGAAGTGTGACAAAATATTAAAACATGATTTAAAATGTATTCTAAAGTAAAACTTAATTTGACATTTATTACAATGTGTTAAACATGAAAGTTTACTCGATGTACACAAGTGGCCTTTTATTAGATTTAGTATTATGTTATCTGAAAGTATGTTGTTTAAAAATTTACTTTTAAAACCTAAAGTACACTATACGTGCACATTCAATACAGTTAAGTGTACTTGTTTTTCACAAGGGATGGTAATACCAAGTATTGCATATCCCTTGGTATTGGTACAAGAGTAATATCATGTTTTTCTATTGGTTGTACCTGTTTTTTGGCTATAGTAATGTAGTAATTCCATGCTATTGAAGCAGCGTTTAAATTCTATGATATTTGAATATGGTGGAAAAATTGTAACATTGTATAAGTATTTGATACCATCACATGCCACATTACAAAACATGTTTGATCACGGAATGATTTTTTTCAGAAAGCTGCATAATAATAATAAAAAAACTGAATAGTGAACTGTGAAACCTTGCTGTTGCACTGCAGATTTTCCTCTTGAGCTCCTCGGTTTTCCTGCACCAGTGAATCGGGCTGCTTCATTCAGCAAAACAGAAGCAGGTTTGGCACAGGGACCCCAGTGGAGGCATCATGGGGTTTGAGGTGTTACATGTTCGGGAAGGTGTGACCTTGGGTCCTTCTCAAAAAAAAAAGATTTTCTGGCTTGCAAAATGCTTAAGATCTCCCAGCTAATGGAAAGTATTCATTAATATTTTAATATTATTCTGTTTCATCTGACATCATTAAACAATGCAACACTGATGCTAAGCAGAAAGAGTGAAACAAATTAATTGAAATATCTTTTTATGAAGTGGGGAATATTTGAATGGCCTACCTTAGTTGTTTGTTTTCTCTCCTGTGATCTTTGGCCTAGGAATACATTTTCCACAACTTTTTGTATTTTAAAAATATTAGTATTTATTTTTATGTTATATTAGTGTATGTTTTTTTTTTTAATTAATTGATTTTGCTTGACTTCTTTGCATTATTGTAAGATCTGCACTAATATTTAATGCTCATAATGCTCACTTGATGTTGGAAAAATGTAATAATAATAAAAATATAATATATTTGTAATTACCATAAGTGTCCATTTTCATGCACTTTCTGAAAAAATAAATAATAATAATATTTTAGCATAACAATATAGGGTTGAACAACATTATTTAATAAAGTTTTAGATTGTGAAATCATGCTTTATTTATAATATTTGAAATGTTTTTTCATGACTCAAGTATTATGTTTGTCACCATACTTTTAAACCAACCCTACAGTCTTAGGTCAATGCCATGAAGCCCTAAGTTTTATTTTTATGGATGTGAATGTTTAATGTAAAATTATTTGGTAATTTTTTCCAGTAAAATACAGTTAGTAAATCCTGTAATGTGGCTGAGAATTACATCAATCTGTCAAATTAATGTGTAAACGCCAAACACTAAAGTTCCTTGCAAAATATTTGCCTTTGTCGCCGTCTAGTGGTGGAATGCGCTCTTACATGTAAAAACAGTAAATAAAGCATTAGAAAATGGCGCTTTTTGGTGTCTTTCGGGCAAAAAGCAGTGTGTTAATTAAGCACTAGGACAATAAAATTCAAATAAAGCAGGAAAAGACGAAAAAACGAAGTTAGTTCTAGCGGGCTTCATGAGATTTACCCTTCATGACTGACATTTCTGTCTGTATTTGAGGATTATTGTGAAATTGCCCATCTATTTATTAGGATATATAATTAAATCACTTTTGTAGGCCGACTGGGGGATGCTGTGGATCTAATAAACAAACAGCAGCATTGTAAGCAATAAAGACCCTCAGTGCTGCAACCAGGAAATACTGTATAGGGTGGGGGAGGGGATTGAACCCTCAAGACGCTCTCTGACCCTGACCATGTTTTAAGGCACTAATACCAATACAGGGTCTTTAAATCCACTGCTGTGTCCCTCATTATCATCTAAAGTTACTGACTTTCAAAAGTCCCATGTTAATCTCTTTACTTCACCCTTGATTAAACCAATTGTGTTTTCACTGCAGTTTGAGACAATAAGGTTCATCACAAAAGAAAAGTTGGTCAGCCATGATGCCATTGTCTAAGACGCACCTCTAGGAAATCTGTTAAGCGAGTCGGCTGATCAGTTAAAGCGATACCTGGTCACAGCAGGTTCCTGAGCTTTACTGTACATCAATCTCCAACACGTGGCCTCTGTTGACAACAGTAGTATCATGTGTAGTGTGCATGATTTCCTCAAAATACGCAGTTTTATGATTTTTAACTGACTGTATCATATGAATAGACATATTATTGATAGATTGTGTATCTTACAATTGAAAAAGTTATGTTTTCAAATTTCAGCTTTTATGTTAGGTTCAGTTCCCATAAAATGTATACCAAGAATGCACTGGATGAAAGCATCTGCATGCTAAATGTGTATATTAAACACTGTGAGCCAAGTGTTCCACTAAAAGTATAATGTAGTATTCCACTAGAAAATGTAATAAAAGATATGAAGAAGGTGCATATACAGAAAACCTCAAAATATCAATGAAACACATTGTCTATTTCCAGATAACAAGTCCATACCAGATTGGCGAGGAGCTCTGTCTGCTCCCCTCTCACAGACCCCTTCTGCATCACCATTACTCTGTGTAATCTGGGCTTTACGTGCACATCCAGATGGACAGGCAGCCATTCGCTCGAGGAGAAATCCACTTACTGATCCATATAGTCACTGGGTTACACTTGCACTTCTAAAATGAGTGAGTTCACTAGAGCCGTCTGTGCTCGTAGCCAATCCTGCAAGAGCACATCAGTGAAGCTTTACTGAGCTATAGTTTAATCTCGATGTTTGCATAATAACATTGCTGTGTTTTTTATCAAGCCTGATCACATTCCATCAACCTCCGCTAAAACCTTTCTTAGTCAACTACCGGCAGGATTTTAGATTGCACCACAATTATTATGATTTACATTTTTAGCATTCACAATCATCATCTTCTGCGTGCCTGTGCAGGTCTGGGTTTGACTGGAGCCAAAT